TAGTAGTAGTAGTAGTAGTAGTAGTAGTAGTAGTAATATTAATATTAGTATGTAGCTATTCGAGCTTGGCTCACAAACCTTACGAGTCGAGCTTTATTAGGCTCGAGCTCAGCTCGATTAATAAATGAGCCTGTAAATTGGGCTCAAGCTCGGCTCGCAACTCAGTTGAAACCAAGCYGTGCTGAGATTTTCATGAATCGAACTCAAATAGCTTATGAAGAGCTCGACTCATGGCAACCCCTAGTTCTACCTTTAGGGGCCTAGAAGTAGGGGTGTCAATTGGACCTGGTTTGGCCAAGTCCAAATATGAGTAGATGGACTAGGTCCAATTTAATCTAATGAATACTCTGGACCATTTTGGATCAGTGCATTTCAATTCCTAGACTACCTAATCTGTTCAATTTGCTTTTTACTTTTGATTGTTTCCATCCAAAACCTGGTCCATTGACACCTATATTCTTATATTCTATCAATGACCTAGATATTGATTCAATCCGATCCAATCCAATATAAATCCATTATGAATGGACTAAGTCCAACCCAATCCAATAAATACTTTGGACCATTAAGTCTGGATTGGTCCAATTCAAATGTCATATTGGTCTATCCAATCCGTCCAAATTGATTTTGATTTGGATGGATCCAATCCAAAACTGGTCCATTGGCACACTTACCAAGAAGTAGGCTACATCTTAGCTCCCATCTAGGGTTGTTCACAAAAATCACCAAACCGGTCTGAACTGATCCGATATAGCTAGTTTTTAAAGTTTTTGGGTCGGTTTTGGTTGATCAATATGTATAAACCAAATGGTCAGTTCGGTTTTTGGTTTGTAAGTTTGTAAACCGAAAATAACCTGACCCGAACCAGCTATGTCTTATTATGTTTAGCTTATGTGGTATTCAATCTTTTATAGTTTTTTTTTGGATATCAATTTTCTTATAGACAAACCATAATTTTTTTATAAAGAAGCCAAAGTCAAATATTTCGACGGGCTTACAGTTGAATAAAATGAGAGGGATGTAGAAATGGAAAGATGACTGAATTGAGTGGATGGAATGGTTATGGCATATAATCTTTGTCATATCTCATATTAGATCGATTGTTTTATTTTGAAAATTTGAAGAATAATGGAAGGCAATTTCAACATTTCATTATATACATCAATATTTAATTCAGAATAGAGGTACTAAGAGATTTTGCAAATAGGAATAGTTTTAGTCAATTTCTTAAAAMTTAGGGATAGTTTAAGGGAACTTGAAAAATGTGGAAGAATTTTTCATCTATTAAAAACTCGTGGCACACTAATCTTTCATTAAAACTGCTCAAGAAATACATCACATCTTAACACTTGTTAAAGAAAGGAAGGTAGATTTAAGATAGGAACTACATTAATGTATGAATTTGGAGATCTGCTAATCACAACACATTGCTGTCCACACGTTCGTCCAACTGTAACAGCCAATGACCCACATAGCTAGGATAAACAAGCCCATGTACATGGACCGGGCTGGACTGGTAACTAGGAACCTATCACAATAGCCATATATATGGTCTAGGGCTCCAGGCTAAATATAAGCTCAGRCCCAAGCAAATTAGAAAGGTAATGAGGTTGATCTTTTAATCAGAGTTCACATTGGCTCCCCACAAAGTGCGCCTTGCATGCACATCTCAGCATGCAGTGAGAACATCTTCCATACTCAGGGGCGGAGCTAGGGGTGGTAAGGGGAGCCATGCACGGCAGGGATGTGCTGTGGGGTGGAGATGTGATCTCTACCTGTACTTATTATTGAGAGATGTTTCCAATACACGATTGAGATGCATTATAGGACTCTGTGGGGGCATGCATGCAAATTCTTTTAATCACAAATCAAATCTAATTAAATATAATACCGTGTCAAATAGTAATCGGATGAACCCAACACTAATTATATCCTATAGCAAGCATTTTTATCAATTTAAGATTATTCTGTCCACACTTAAGTTCAATTTGAAAAGTGTATGTATAAATATATACAAAATACAAGATTTTTCACTCTACATATTTGTATGGATCCTAAGAGACTATTCTGGTTGGGCTGACCTACAAAACCTAATACGAGTTGTAGTTGATGGAGGATAAACAGGGTTACACTTGCCAGAGGAAAGCATCCGACCACCTCTTGATTTACATCTAAACTCTAAATTCCTAAATTCTAAATCCTGATTAATCTAAATCATAAACTCTCAAACCTAAAATCTAAATTCCAAACCTTTAAATCCTAAAATCTAAAATATAAACCTCAACTCCATATTATAATCTTTAAACTCTAAACCCTTAAAATATTAAACCTACACCCTAAGACAAGAACGGCCCAACCTAGAAAACACCATTTTTTTTGCCACGCCAACGAGGAGGCACGCTCCAGGCAACGAAGCAAATGTTTAGATGGGCCGTCTTCGTTTATAACCATTGATCAAATGGGCAATATCTCTAATTTCTTAGATTGAATTGGGCTGGGCCATCACACACATTGACATTGACGCATACACAATCCTAATCACACAGACACAGTAAACAAAAAGACATTTCCTGAATCCTGAATCCTGATGATGGGTATACACTGATGGATTCCGTCCGTTCAACAGTCAAGATTTCCTCTTCCACCGTCCATCCATCACTCATATACGTGTCTTGAGAATACTCCATGCAGGTATGAATGATCCCCGAAGAGAGCCACTTGGTAGAGGCGTAGAGCCTTTGTTCAGCCATGTCCATGACCACCTCCAACAAAATTCTCTACACTCCTCTCCTCCCAGATACTTTCCTTCCCTGTAATTTCCTCTTCTTCTTCTTCTTCTTCTTCTTCTCTACTGGGAAAGCGCCATGGCTATGGTTGACCCGCTCCCAGTTATATTCCCTAATGRCACCGGGAGGCAAGAAGACAACCAGCTAGACTCCTCTTTCTCCATAGTAGCCCTTCGGAAGTTACCCCACCTCACCGACTACGTTCAGAACCTCCAGACCTTCACAAACCCATTAGAATACAACCCATTCTACCACGAACCAGCCAGATTCTACATCTCCCCCTCCGACGTCATTCTCCGGCAGATCGTCTATGACCTTGCCAGTGGCTTTCCCGTGGCCACGCCCCACCTGACCTACCACCGTGCAGGCCCACGTAAACTGATCTTCTACGACCCCTTTCATGTGCGAGCTGCGATTGTTACTTGTGGAGGACTGTGCCCCGGCCTGAACACTGTCATTAGGGAGCTGGTGGTGGGTCTGTGGGAGCTTTATGGGGTGCGTCGGATTTTTGGTATTAAGGCGGGGTACAGGGGGTTCTATTCCACGGAACCGGTGCCGCTTGATCCCAAGGCTGTGAATAATTGGCATAAGAGGGGTGGAACCATTCTTGAGACCACCAGAGGTGGGTTTGATCTCGTTAAGATCGTTGATGCCATTGAAARTCGAAGGTTTAATCAGGTCAGTCTCATCAATCTGACGACGACAAAGCAACAATCTTTCTTCTGTTTGTTTATTGTTATTTTTTTCTTCTGCTAATTTAATGCTACTTCTTTCCGTTCATGATATGATGCATTCATTCTTCACTTTCGGTTCTGTTCTTATGATCCAGTTAATTAATTAATTACTTGGCGCAATTCCCCGAATTCTGTGAAACCCCTTCCATGTCAGGGAATGCCAATCAAATGTTCATCTTTTTCTCTCTGTTATCATTATTCGTTCTTCTGCTGCAGGTATACATCATAGGTGGAGATGGCACAATGCGTGGGGCTGTCAAGATTTTCGAGGAGATCCGTCGACGGAAGCTGAACGTAGCTGTTACCGGGCTGCCCAAAACAGTCGACAATGACATTGGAATCATAGACAGGTCTTTTGGGTTCCACACAGCAGTGGAGACCGCCCAACAAGCCATCAGTGCAGCTCACGTCGAGGCAGAGAGTGCAGTTAACGGCATTGGCCTGGTAAAGCTGATGGGTCGAAGCACGGGCCACATCGCCCTGCATGCGACCTTGAGCAGCCGAGACGTGGATTGCTGCTTGATTCCAGAAAACGATTTCTACCTGGAAGGGGAAGGGGGGCTGTTTGAATTCCTGGGACAGAGATTGAGAAAGAATGGGCATGCCGTGGTTGTGGTGGCGGAGGGGGCGGGGCAGGATTTGATACCGAGAAGCGACGCAGAGAAAGAGGAGAAGGATGAATCCGGCAACCCAGTGCTGTTGGATGTTGGGGGGTGGTTGAAATCGGAGGTGAAGCGATGGTGGGCAAGAGATCACCCAAGGGAGTTGCTGACGGTGAAGTACATAGACCCAACGTATATGATACGTGCAGTACCTCCGAACGCGACAGACAATTTGTACTGTACGCTGCTGGCGCACTCGGCGATTCATGGGGTGATGGCGGGATACACTGGATTTGTGTCTGGTCCCATTAATGGCAACTATGCGTATATTCCGTTACTGGACGTGGCTCAGACGAGAAACGTGGTGAATACAAGGGACCATAAGTGGGCGTGGGTCAGGTCCGTCACTAACCAGCCGGATTTCTTGAAATAACTGGAGGCTTTGTGATTGGAGTTTCGCAAAAAACCCATATAATGTAACTTCAGCTATCTTTAGACTTTAGCCTAGCAAGTGTTTGATGTTAATCCCCATAAATAAGTGTTGGTATGTAATGTAACCCGTGATTACACAACTTCCTTAGAATTGGAAAGCAACTTGGGCCTCAAACTAGTATAGGTTGGTAGCAGGATGAATTTCTTCTGGGTTGTTAGGAAGACATATCTAAAAAGATTTGACAAACGGTATGCAAGCAAATAGCAATAGTAAGGACTTTCTACAAATACAAATGTAGCTTGGGGCAGGCCTTGGCCAGTTGGTCCTTCCTTTAGTTTCTTATAATATTCTGCTTACAAGAATAATTCTACTTGTAACTCAGGACTTGTTCTACTTGCTTATTGTAAATGAATGCCTCAAGCACAACAGTATCATTATCATCCCAAAATACAAATCTGATTTAATTTTTATATATAATATATAAAATATTTAAATATTTTTATATACATAATTATTGCATTTATATATTTTATACAAATAAAATATTTATTAATTACTTGATTCGAATATTTGAATAATATTAATTTTTAATATCTGTCGCATATTAAATTGAATTCCAATATTTTCGAATTCGAATATTGCCTGAATCAATTTGAATTTGATCCGTTTATAAATCATCTATTTGAAACGCGTAAGAGATCACTCCATAATCCATTCCTCTACTATTTTTTATCAATTGATTCATTCTTTGAGGTTTGAGCATAACAATACGCTCCACGGAGGAAACTATTCACGTTCCTTTTTCTATTGACAAAATACTTGTGTAGGGCAAACCAATTATCACTTGTGCTCATCTCGACTAAAGTAAAACTAAAAAAAGTAAAGCAAAAAAGCAAAAGCGTGTTCTTTCTTTGATATCTCCTTTGCCCTACATATTTCATCACTATTTAACCAATTGGTGTGTTGGTAGTTAGTTATTCTGTCTTGTTTTCCAACAATTCTTTATCATATATAAAGAGTTGTTTTTTCCTTACTTGTAGGACAAGTAACTCAGATATGTGACACTATAACTATTTTATAATCAAAATATCAATAGACTATAAAACACCATTAAATAAGTGGGTGTTCCATAGCGTATATGAGAAATTGGTGAATGTGGACCGGTCCATATCACACTCACCAATTCACATCACACCACAGTCTATAGTTATTCTGAATTGTGGACAAATTGTGTGTACTGGACCAGTCTACACTTATAGTGGCATTCTGTGTCCATACCACACTTTTTGATTCCACGTATCTTATATACATTTATGAATGATCTACACCAACATTTTAAAAAACAACACAAAAGCATAACCGTTATGGCCACTGGTTTTCAGGTCAACGGTCTGACCGTTTGATTCAAACGAACGGCCCGTTTTGACAAACAAATAAAAAAAAATAAAAATGGTAAAAACCGTTGAACGGGTCAACGGTTTGTCTGCTTGGGTCAACCGGTTGTCGACTTTTTCAATAATTTTTGGCCAAAAACTAGGTTTGGGGTAAAACAAAACCGCTTGCCTGGACAGTTCCCGGGCTGAACGGTACGACCGTCCGGGTCAACGACGGTTCGAAAACCTTGATCTACACAGTTAATCATAAATATCTAATTTTTACATTTTATATGATAAATATATTTAAAAATGCATCAATGAATTAATATTAACCAATAAATATTTAATTTTTATAAAAACAATTATAAAATAATTAAAATTTTTAAAAATATATTTAAAATATAATTTTATTGATAAAACATTAAAATTTTAAAAAATTAAGTAAAATAATTAATATTTTATTGACAAAAATATTAAAATATAAAACAAACAATAGGGTAGTCTTTCAAGGAAAGTGTGAAGTAGGAGATTAAAAATCAAGTGTGGACGGTCCCTAACCACGAGATTTTACCGTGAATGAAAAATTGGGGTGTAGATGAGACTTGTTCATGCCATATTGAGGTGTGGACAGTGCGCAAGTCACATATTCCAAAGAGATGAAACTCAGTTTTAACTTTTTTCAAAATATGCAACCCAATTTTTTTAGCATGCCATCGGACAGCATTTTTTAACTTTTCAAACTATTGAAACTCAGGGAAGTGTTAGTKTAATAGATATGCTGCTATGAGTTTAATGACTCTTTTTACTCTGTTTTCGTTAATTTGCTCTGAAAAAGAGAAAAAAAAAATCATTCTTCCCTCGCCATGGTTCAATTGTAAAGGTTTTGTAACCCCTGCAATTGCAGAATCCATAATGGTTATATAAATCCAATAAAATTTAGATGAATCATGAAAGATAAGATATCGATCATCTCATTCAATTCAGGTCGATGTAGACAAGAATATATCAACAAAACGAATTCGATCGGTTGAAGGCTGTTCAGCAGGCTGTGGACCCTTAGTGAGAAATTAAATGGTTGTGGGTCTTGTGTTTTATTATTGGCACGGAGAGTTATCATTGGTTCCCACAACCTAYTCAACTGCAGCTTTTTAAAACAAATAGAGGAATTATGGGGAAGTTAAAAAAAGAGAAAATAGCACTTGATAATTAGGGGGCATTTGTTTTTAGGATTTTGAGAGTGGGGAGAGTTCTATATTCTTTTTTCAGATTTATGTGGGGATAAGAGAAAGTTTATTTTCTCAAGTAACATGTGGTTAAATAACTTTTCCACATGGGGGAAAGTTGTCAATACTTGGATGAGACAAAAATACMCTTTTTAAAAATGGATTTTTATACTTAAAATGGTCATTGATTTGTTTACCTGGGAAATAAAAGAACATGGATAAATGCACTTACCCGGATAAGCAACTTACTAAAAAAGCAAACGGAGACTTAAGTTAGATGAGAACTACTAAGAGGAGAAAAGTACTAGCACTCATAAAATCGATTCGTCGGTTTTTTGATTTTATAATATTTATTATATAAATATATAATAAAAATTATAAATATATATAAAATATTATATTTTAAATAATAAATAATATATAATATACATAAATATATAAAAAAACATGTATACCGGTCGATTAAGTTAACCGTCAGTTTTTTAAATTGGTTAACCGAAACCAAACGATACCTTCGATTTTTTAAAAACACCGAATCGACCAGTTTGGTTAACCGATTTTTTGGTTCGATTTYGRTCGATTCGGTTTTTYGGTTTTTTTGCTCACCCCTAAGCATACATTACATGATGGCTAATAGGGGAAAATGGTTTTATCACTCCATTTTAATTTTTTTCTTCGTAATTCTTATTAGTTCATTTGTAATGTAAATTTAACAACAATAGGATTGTTGACAGCAAATCAAGGTACACTTACGATCAATTAGAGGGTAAGAGATGACTCAATGCGACCATAGAGTTTAACGAGGATGCCATCCATAGATGAGAGTTGCCATCCATAGATTTAGAGTAGAATAAGAAAAATGGAAAAGGTGCAAATGGAGTCTTATGCAATAGGTAAATACCAACGTTTTAAAATACGATGTAGAAACGGAACTGTTTTAGCCACTGGTTTCGGGTYGATGATTTGACCATCTAGTTCGAATGGATGGCTCGTTCTGACAAAGTAATAAAAATAATAATTAAAAATAAAAAAATAGTTAAAAATAGTTGAACAGGTTGACGGTTCGATCACCCGGATCAACGGATTGTTAATTTTTTCAATGGTTTTTGACCAAAAATCARGTTTAAGGTAAAACGAAACCGCTCTAACCATCCGAATCAACAGTGGTTCGAAAACCTTGATAAATAGTACTTCAATTAAAAGAAAAATTTTATAAAATAGATATAAAACAAACTATATTGTATGGAATAAAGTGTCTGCTAGTTGAAAAACAGCATATCCAAAAGAATGAGTATAGAAAAAATATGGWGGCTTAGATAATGATGATGATAAATTTATGTCAATTGCAAATTAGCCATTTTTTACAAGTAATGTATCAAATGGTTAATGGATGGATAGTCTAACTTGGGGAACTATTAAGTTAATCA